CTAGCTCTTCAAAGTAGCTCTTGCCTCTCACTCTTTCGAGATGAAGTTTTCCACATTCACAAAGCCGCAGAAGACTTATTTGTAAACATACGAGGGTATGGCATTTTTATTTGTCTTTTTTGGAGAAGGGTGTTGAGTGGTTTGTTTTTACTGAACTTTGGGGGGATAGAGAAGTAGTCACATCATGCAGAAAGATCAACCTCTACCTTCTTACTCTGATCAAAACAAGTTGTTTCTAACAATCATCCTGATAGATAGGAATCATATTTTTATAGGTAACTTCACAGATTAAAAAAAATCTATATTTCATGTTCTTTTCAAATTTATATTCTAGGAAAAGGAAGGTAAATCCCCACATACGGTTTTAGACATAAATATGATAGAAAGTACCATATACATTTTAGAGTTTTGAAATTTTTAGAAGTGCTATCTTAGAATAGAGTACATTTGTAAAAGTATGTGAAACAATCAAAAATACTTCATTAGATTAATTATAACAATTGCAGAAGTCATTCTGCTGCACATAGGAAGTCATGTTTCCTTATGATGGAAAGTATTTTAAGTAATTTATTTTCAATTATTTGATGTAAAGCAAATAATTCTCTGAAATTTGTTTCTTTGAAATTTTTAGTGCCTTCATTTCTCTCCATTTGTGAATCTGTGGCCAGTATATAAAAGCCACATTGAGCTCAGACTTAGTAACAATTATAAAATCTTTTAAAGTTAGGAGCATCTAAAATATACTAGGATCCTCTGTATTTGTGTTAAATAATTATGTTGGGCTTGCTAGATTCAGCTAAAAATGAAATTTCCTTACATTTATTTCATATCCAATTCAATAATGTCCTCATGAAACTGAGATAAAATAAAGCTTCTATTGGTTACTAAAGATGTGTCTGGCACTAACAACTTAAGCCAATATATCTAAAATTTTAGTGAGCATAAGAATTACCCTGGGGTGCAAATTAAAATCCAGGTTCCTGAGCATCACCCCATCCTCTGTTGTCCGTATCTTGGAGAGTTTAAAGGAATCTGCCCTTTTCTCCCTTAGTACTTTATTGAGATAAAATTTACAAACAGAAGAATGCATAAATTTTAAGTGTATAGCTCATTGACTTTGTATATGAATACTCCTGTGTGACCACCACTTAAATCAAGATGTATAACATTTCCATCATCCTGGAAAATTCCCTTATGCCTTTTTCTGGTCAATACTGCCACCCCTAATCCACCCCACTCCTTTTTCACGTGACCACTCTTCTGACTTCTGTCACATAGGTGAGTCTGATATTCTCCTGCCCATGATCTATCAGTCATAATATGAGGAACAATGCCCTGTGTCATGATCTATCAGTCATAATATGAGGAACAATGCCCTGTGTATTTTTCAGCTCTTATTTTAGATAGTGGAAAACCCTGAAATATTCTGTGTGATAAGGGCTTTGTCATATTGTAATTCATTCATATTGAAAATCATAAAAATTGTATTATCTTAGAATACTGACAACCTCTTTGTGGAATCATATTTAGATATACATAAACATTTAAAACCAGGTGGTGTGTGTATACCGAGTGAACTTATGTATGGCGCAAGTAAATTAATAGCACTATGAAACCAATATGCTTTTTTAATGATAAATTTGTTAAAGAATCTCTGTATTTAAAATTGAGAAATTTTAATTTTGATTAAATTATGAGTTTATCCAATTTAGAGTGCAAATTATCAGTCATATCATAAATATAAAAAGCTTATTAATTATAGAGGCTGATGATTACAGAATTCATATATTTGGACATTTGCTCAAAGAACACATGAATCTTAGAGCACTTAAATACAGAAGTTTGAGTTCCTTTTGGTGTAAGTGGTTTTAGCCACGTTGTTAGGAAGATATTTTTTTCTTTAACATTTTCAGGATTTTGAGTTTTTGTATGTAGTACTCACGAAATTATTTATTAGCATTTGTTTTTTCAGTGGTACCTTTAGACTGATTGGTGTTGATGTTCTGTTTCTTCTAATTAAATGTTTTTTAATATGAAAAATAAGTATTTTTTTTGAAAAATGATAGGTAAAAATTACCCATATATAATTCTATCTCTCAGAATTATTTCAAGTAGGCAAATGTTTTCCTGCCTTAGTTTTCTCCACCACAAATCCTCTATACCCAAACAGTCACCACTATTGATTACTAGTATAATATGTGTCCTTTCAGAATTTTCCATGCTTATGAGATAGCCTTGATAAAACGTCAGAAGTGATAGCTTTGTTTGCACTTTAGATTTTTGGAAATCACTGTTAATTACATCAGAAGTATAATTTTAATGTCTCCATTGAAACTGAAGGAAGTAGTAAGATTTAGTAAAATAAAAATCTGCATTATGAACCTTCTTTTTATTGTTGGACTTGTTGTAATGTCAGATTTATTTTTTTAGGAAGGCTTGACTAGAGACCTAAAGTGCTAGGCAAGGATGTAGTTAAACAACTTCCATGCATTTCCAGTTTGAGAGCCAGTTTTTTTATTGATAATAAGCAATTTTTAATTGACTTTTAGTATTTGACTTACTCATTTAGACTGTTTATCAAATTAAGATTAACATGGTTCTAATTTATTTTTTTGTACATAGCTATAATAAACGTATTAATGACATAAGAGAATGCAAGGAGGCAGCTGTGTCGCATGCGTAAGTAGTTCTGTTTTATCTGTGGTACTTTTAATCAAGAATTCCTTTCTTGATTCAACAAAATAAAGCATTATTTTGTTGAAGTAGGTACAGATTAGTAGTGTGCAAGATGTGGTAGTAGAGAACAGAGACTTTCAATCAATGAGAAATATTAAGTATATAACCTAAATACATAGTAACCTTGGAGTTAGTGAAGACAGTTTTTAAGTAATTTTGGAGTATTGATAAAATGCTATAAGGAAGTATCATACGAGGAATTTTTAGGTATCATCTCTTACTGCCACTATGCTCTTCATACCAATAAGTTGTGCTGATTTTGTAAGTTGTGCTGATATTTTTACTACGTCATGAAACTTGATGTATTCTCAAACTCTCAAAAAGTGTTTACTTTTCAAAGTATGTTAACCTCACACTTGACCCCAAATTTAGTTATTTATGTTAGTAAATATATAGATACCCTAAATTAGAAATTAGTGTATTTAAAGTCCTTTGAACTTTTCCAGTTTTCTCATGAAATAATTCTAAATAATTTGATATTGCATTTTAATTGTTACGTATGTGATATATTAATACTTACGTAGAATATTTTCACCAATGAGCTTAGGCAATAAATGTATCGATAATATTATCTGATCCTTCAGTATTTCTAGATAAGGCAGAGGAAAGATAAGCACCATTCCATAGATGAAACTATAAAACTACAAGTTTTAAAATTAAGTTTAGGCTATGGGATAGATATCAGGAATTCAAACCATTGTATCTCTGCTAGATCATTCCTCACGTATAGTTTTTTTTTTTTACTTGAATGAAGTACATGTGCTTACATTATTCAAAAATTATTCTTTAGTGCAAATAACATACTTTGGGGTTTGTTAGAATTCCCTTCTAAACCTGTAGAAATACTTAGGATAATCATTTCTTCATAGGATAGACCCTGTTATAGGCAGCTATATAGCATCATAGCTGTCTTCTATAAAGATCTTTTGTAAGAAAGATATTTGTATTCCTTTCTTCTATATATTACGTACAATAATTATAAATAGTAAGCAGTAGTAATTCCTATAACTTGTTACCATATGCTAGGTCCAAGTACTTTATAGACACTTTCTCTCAATAAATACCACAGACTCCTCACAGCAACCCTATGAAGTAAATTAGTCAAAATGACATTTTCCCATTTCCTTCTTAGAAATGATACCAGATGACTTTATTATTGTTAGTAAAAAGAACTTGTCATTGAAATTAAAGCAGCATAGTATAGAAGTACCATATATTAGGCATCATGAAAGATTTGTATGTCTTTGGAAGCAGGTATCATCATGCTTATTTTATAGATGAGAAGCTAAAGTAGAGTTTGAGCCTAAAGTCATACAGGCAGACGATGGATTTTAATTTGAGTCTTCTAAAACTAATCTGTGTCACAGCAAAATTACTGGTGTTGTGTGTTCTTTATACTTGGGTGTTTGGCATATGTATCATTCATATCTATATATATATATATGCATGAATTTTATACACCTATCTAAATTTTAAAACTTTCTTGGAGCAGTATGTATTTTGCATAGTATGAGGAGATGGAATACTTAGAACATTTTATTTTCATCCTAGTGTTAATGTGTGAGCGTAAGATCTTTCTAATTTGAATTTTAAAATCCCTAGTATGTGAATATTTATGATTATCCCTTTCTTTCCCTATCTTTCTATTTTTGAACAAGAGCACCAAACAGATCTTATCTCGTTATCTTTATTGAATATAACTCTTGTTTAGTCAGTTTTATAATATATATTTGATAGGAATATACTTAATAAGGACATAGATGACCAGATATTTATTGTTATATTTATTAATTTCTATGTGGAAGTAACAAAAATATAGTACAGTTCTTGCCTTCAAGAATTTCAGTCCAGTTTATAAAGTGCTAAGCTGTACAGTACTAAAATTGCAGAGATTATTCAGAAATAAACAGCAAGATATTTGGAAGATGCTTCTTGAAGGATAGGTCTTGAAGGTTGGGTAAGATTTTCAAAGGAGGAGAGTCTTGGTTACAAAAGCAACACAAGAAAGGCAAGGATAAACATAAGATTAGAAACTCACTTAATGACAAACACATAGAAGATGATTTTTGTAGGGGATTCTGTTTCCTAAAAAAAAAAAACTTCGGAAGTTGAACCTGAAATGCTAGTTACTTTAATTGCTAATCATGATTTTAGTAGAAGCAGATAAACCATAATGGTGTCTTTCCTTATAGTGGTTCAATGCACAGAGAAAGACGTAAGTTTTTAAGGTCTGCACTGAAAGAATTGGCTACTGTTCTCTCTGATCAGCCTGGCTTGCTAGGCCCCAAGGTAATTGATTTTGTTTTTATTTCAATAATTGTACCATATTAAAATCCTTAAAAACATTTCTTCCATATGAAATTTTATTAAAATCTGAGTCAGGGACTACATAAAAGGATTTTTATATTTACAGAGAATGAATTTGCTAACTTGACACTGATACATCACACCTCCCTGCATTTTTCTTCTTCTTTGTATGCATTCTCTCCCTCATACATACTTTCAAGTTCTCTTCTGTCCTCTCCTGTTGGTCTCCTCTCTCTTTTAAATTTGATGTTATATTTCTTGCCAGTGACTTTTCACTTAGGGAGAGATTATGAATTGGTTTTGGTTTTAACCTTTGAATGAGAGTAAGCAATGTAATTTTCTTTTGATAGGCGCTTTTTGTTTTTATGGCATTATCCTTTGCCCGTGATGAAATTATCTGGCTTCTTCGTCATGCAGATAACATGCCAAAGAAGAGTGCAGATGATTTTATAGATAAGTAAGTTAGCAACATTAAAAAAATTATTTTCTGTATACAAATGATCCTTGATTTACAATGGGGTTACGTCCAAATAAACCCATCATAAATTGAACATATCATAAGTTAAAATGCATTTAATAAACCAGACCTACTACAGAGCATCATAGTTTAGCCTAGCCTACTGTGAACATGTTCAGAGCACTTTTATTAGCCTACGATTGGGCAAAATCATCTGGCAACACACTGTAGAGTATCAGTTGTTAATCCTCATGTTCACGTGGCTGACTGAAAGTTGTGGTTCGCTGCTGCTGTGAGAGAGTATCCTACTGCATGTCGCTAGCCTGGGAAAAGATCAAAATTCAAATTTGAAGTACAGTTTCTACAACTGTTTTCACACCATTGTAAAACAGAAAAATCGTAAGTCAAACCATCGTAAGTCTTGGACCATCTGTATTCTGATTTATGGGCTACGGAATCTGGGGACTTTTATTTGAAGCAAAATTATTTTGAAGAACTTGTTTTTAGAGCTTTTCATATTTGTCATAACAGAAATATTTGTAATATGTCATTAGATGACATGACTTGTCATGTAAAGTCAACTATAGCTTGAAATTAGGACTCTTAATGTTTTCTCCCTAGTATGCTAGTTGATGATAAAGTTCTTGTTTTCTTGCTGTGTCCAATAATATTTCCTGTGGAATTCATTTTTCAATATTTTTTACTACACAAAACATTTAAATAAAAATTTTTAAAGAGTTGGAACTCGGTGTGTCATTAAAATGTCTTTTTCTCATTTTAGTCCACAGTCTCTCAACTGGAGTTAGATAAATGAAGCAGAGACATAAGAGCATACCGAAAAATCTTAGTTCTTGCTAATCCTCTTTCATTTGAGATTTTTTCTTGATGATGTATTTATGTGATGTGCTGATTTTATTTTAAGGTTGGATTTTTTGCCGTTGATCTTTAGTCTTAGCTTTTGTTTGGTTTTCTGCTTTTGTGTTTTTGCTTTACATGATTTCTTTATTCATATGAAATAAGTAATTGACATTAAATATTAAACAATGCCCACTTTAAGAATAAAACTTCTAGAAGTAATATTGAGGACATTTAATATTTTCTTTGATAACAAATTTATTCTTTGAAATACTTTTCTTGAATTTTTAAAAAAGGCACATTGCAGAATTAATATTTTACATGGAAGAACTTAGAGCACATGTAAGGAAGTACGGACCTGTAATGCAGAGGTATTATGTGCAGTACCTTTCTGGCTTTGATGCTGTTGTCCTCAATGAACTCGTGCAGGTAAAAACTATCTCATATTATTCCCCCTTTTGTTCCTTCTCTTTCCCACCTTTCTAGTAATTGATCTGTTAGCTCAACAGACACTTATAAGATATAACCATGTTCCAAGCAGTAGACATACAAGTGTGAATAGGTCATGGTCAGATTTTGTCAAGGAGATCATTATTTAGGGAGAAGGAAACAATTAATTGTAGTCTACTGTGATTGGTGTTGTGCATAAGTATGTACAAAGCTCAGAGTGAACATTATGAAGGGATGTTATCCTGGAGAGGGAGGTGTACACTAACCAGTATAGAGGGCTTCATGAAAGTGGAGGTTAGTTATAAATCAGATTTGCTCTTCATAAACATCACCCCAGCTCAGTGTGGATGGTAGATTGCTGGGGATCAAGGGAAGAGGCAGAGAGATCAGAAGAAAAATTACTATGGTAGTGTAGGTGAGAGCTGATGAGAGCCTGAACTTGAACAGTGGCTATGGAGATACAGAAGAGATGATAGAGATAATTAAGTATTAGAAGATTAGATGATAATTGATAATTAAGTATTAGAAGAAAAGTAGAATAAAAAATGTTCCTGAGCATTCTGTTAGAGGATGGCTAGTAAATAAAGATGTCATCTGGATATTCTAATATAAATGTTCTAATTTTTATTTTCATTTTGGATTTTCCTCTATTGAATTTTAGTCTTAGCTTTTTTTTTTTTGCTTTCCATAATTTATTTAATCTGTTTCATATTTAACTTTTAAAATTTTTATTCCAAATAAACTGTAAGAAAAATAGTATTTTATTTTGCTTCCCTTTATAAAATTACAAATGTCTAAAATTAGTATAAGGAAAAAGCAGTAAGAATTTTCTTTATATAAAGACTACTCTAAAGCTGCTGGTTTTCCAGAGAAATAACCACATTTTGAAATCCTAGTGTTATTCAAATCAACATAAAAATGTAATTGTTAACCTTGAATTGTATATGTTATAGGTTACTATCCTAAACGATATAGTTTATTTCTTCTTTATCCACTAGATGGAGCTCGGATGCTTCCTTTCTAGAAAGGCTTTTAAAAAGGAAACAGAAAACCTAGAGTATTATTGCCTTGCTGTAGTTTTATTTGACTAGTTATTACTTACCAGATAAACCAGAGGCTGTTGTTACTGTTTATTACTTATTCATACTAGTATACAATTTAAAAAGTAAACCAGAACTCCTGGTTCTGTGTAATTTTTAAAACATGTTATGGCTATTTGGACATTTATTAATTAATTTTACAGATTTTTGTTTAAATCACTTGAAGTCTATTTTTATATAAAGTGGAGTTTACTAACACTGAGAAAATTAATTATTAGCATTTCTTCTGGGATTATAGTAATAGTATTAGTATCAGCAGCAGCAATAATAGTGATATTAATAATTGCCAGATTTATTGATAGTACATATATCTTATTAAATCTGTACAATTCTGTGAGGGTAGATATAGTTACTATTACTTGTTAAGGAAAAAAAATATTATGTACCTTGCTAGCATCACACAGTTCATAAGTAAAGCCAGTATTCAAACTCAAATCTTAACTCCAAAGCCTGAACATTTTCCACTCTGTTCTGTTGCAAAGTACATTAACAGTGTTTTTAACCATTGGCTAGGATGTAAATTTAGAACTAAGATTGTAAACCAGTTAATATAGTTCATTCTAGTCAGTGTTAATTTTTTTATTATGATAAAATACATATAACAAAATTTACCATTGCAACCATTTTGAAGTATACAGTTCAGTAATATCCACATCATTCTATAGATCTTAATATTTTGAAAATGTATTTTATTCTGTTTGTGAGCTAAGCGTCAACTTTTTTAAAAATTAACTTTTTAGCATTTGCTTTAGATGCAGTTTATTAAATATTCATTTTTTTAAAAGCTAGTTTGAAAGGGAGGTGTTTTGATCCAAATTTTTTTGAGGCATAATTTACATACAACAAAAATCACCTATTTTGAGGGTATATTTTAAATTTTGGCAGCCTTATAGATACATTCATGTAACCACCCCCACATTCAAGATGAAGAATGTTTCTAACACTTTTAAAAGTTTGCTTGTGTACCTTTATTGTGGGTTCTTTCATAGACCCCTGATGCAACTGATCTGATGTTTTGTCACTGTAGCTTTGCCTTTAAAAAATTTTTCTCATATAAATGGAATCATTGCTATATAGTCTTTTATTTTTTAATTCTTTCACTTAGCATAATGTTTTTAAGACTCATGTTATGGTATATATTAAAATTTCATTCCTTTGTTGTTATATTCCATAATATGGATGTACCTGTTTGTTTATCCATCCACTAGTTGGTAAACCTATGAGTAGTTTCCCAACTAAATATTTTTCACATTACTTTTTGTTCTTTTTCAGAATCTTTCTGTTTGCCCTGAAGATGAATCAATCATCATGTCCTCTTTTGTTAACACTATGACTTCCCTAAGTGTGAAACAAGGTAGTAAGTCTTTTAAGTAAAAGCATATTATCTTCTGATTAGGTTTTCACACATGATTAAGGAGAGAATTTAATGGTTGATTTTTATGGAGTCACTTATCTCATTTTTGAACATACTGTCTTTTACCTTAACTTTGTTCTCTTTGAAGCAAAGCTTTCCAAAATGGGTTTCAGGTGCTGTTTACAAAAATCATAAGATTATAGTTTGATATTTCTTAATATTCAGCAGGAAAAAAGAGACATGTTGTAACAAAATAAACAGAACAAGAAAGAGAACTGCCTATTTTAACAAAGGATATGTTTAGTCCAAGCATACCTATAACAGTAGTCCATACCATTTATAAAATGTTTAGTCAGTGCCAGGCACTTTATTATCCCATTTAGTCTACCTGACTTTTGTTTGCTTTTTTAGAGACAGGGTTTCACTCTGTCACCTAGGCTAGAGTGCAGCAGCCAGATCATAGCTGCAGCCTCAAACTCTTGGGCTCAAGGGATCCTCTTTCCTCAGCCTCCCATGTACCTAGGACTGCAGGCTGGCACCACCATGCCTGGTTAGTTGTTTTTTTTTTTTTTTTTAAAGAGAGATAGGGGTTTTGCTATGTTGTTCAGGCTGGTATTGCACACCTATCTTCAAGTGATCCTCCTGCCTTGGCCTCCCAACATGCTAGGATTATAGGCTTGAGCCCATATCACTTTTTTCAATGCTGTTATTTTTATTTGAGAGATTTGGAAACTCAAGATTTGAGAGTTATCCTCTTAATTATGTAAGATAATTTGATAATTTGCCAAGCTCTAACAGCTATTAAGTAAGAACAGGAATTTGAGCTCAGGGCTGTCACTTTTAAAAATTGGTATCATGCAGAAGATCACCTCTCCATTATTTGAACAATCCATTCCAATATATTGATATGATGTTTTAGTTTTATAGTCTTTTAATAAAAGGTATCAGAAACTTTGAAAATTTTTGAGTAATAAAATATATAGATGTTTATTTAAGTTCAATCTTTTTGGGGGGAGGTTATTTTAAAGTATTACAGGGTACTAATTGTTTGGTATTTGGGTTGCATGAATCGCTTTTATAATACCCAAGTCATGGTTGTAAGAGTACCAGTCACCTAGATATTGTTCATTGTACCTGTTAGGTAGGTTTTTGCCCATCTCACCCTCCACCCTCCACCCTCTCCCCTCCCCCTCCCCCCAGGTTGATTTCCATTGAGTTTTACTTCCCCAATCAATCTATAGCTACCACATTTAAATAATGAAGCTACCATAATCTTGCCTGGTGATATTTGGTTTATATGGAGTTATTTTATAGAACTTCAGCATGCCCACCAAAGTTTCTGTCCATAGGATCCCTCAAGTTCTAACTCCTTCAAATTGACATGTAAGCACACTGAGAATCAGAGAGCTTAGGAGAGAAGTCTACACTTCTGTTAGCGTAACTAAGAGATATGAGAATTGTTTCACTGTCTTAGCTCTTAAGTAGCACACATAAACTTGACTAACTTAATCATTTTTGAGTGTATAGTTTAGTAGTAAGGATATTCATATTATTGTACAACCAGTATTTTACAACGAATCTCCGAAACGTTTTCATCTGGCAAAACTGAAACCCTAGCCACTGAACAACAACACCCTACTCCCCTCTCCTGGGAGCCCCTGGCAACCACCATTCTACTTTATGTTTCTGTGAGTTTGACTATTCTAGATACCTCATGTAAGTGGAATCATACAGTACTTGTCTGTTTGTGACTGGCTAATTTCACTGTGCACAGTGTCATCAGGGTTTAGCCATAGTAGCATACGTCAGAATTTCCTTCCTCTTAAAGGCAGAATAATATTCCATTTTATTTATAAACTACATTTTATTTATCCATTCATCTGTCAATGGACATTTAAGTTGCTTCCACCTTTGGCTATTGTGAATAGAACTACTGTGAACATGAGTATACAAATATCTCTTCAAGACCTTTGTTTTAATTCTTTTAGATATATACCCAGAAATGGATTTGTCTTAGCTTTTAAGTTTTAAAATATGATTATAGATTTGCAAAAACATTAATTTGCTTTGTAATTTTTTTTTTCCTGTTACAGTTGAAGATGGGGAAGTATTTGATTTCAGAGGAATGAGATTAGATTGGTTTAGGTTACAGGTAAGAATAACTTAACTTTTATTGTTATTTAATACGTTAGTTTTTGTCTGTTTGTTTGTTTCTGAGGCAGAGTCTTGCTTTTTTGCCCCAACTAGAGTGTAGGGGCATCATCATAACTCACTGGGCTCAAGTGGTCCTCCTTCCTCAGCCTCCCAAGTAGCTGGGACAACAGGTTGACACCACCACATCTGGCTAAGTTTTTTGTTTTTTGTAGAGACAGGGTCTTGCTCTTGCTCAGGCTGGTCTGGAACTCCTGGCCTCAAGCAATCTTCGTGCCTTGGCCTCCCGAAGTGCTAGGATTACAGGCATGAGCCACCACACTTGGCCCTAAGTTGTTTATTTGAAATCTTTCTATTTTTTTTGATGTGGGTGCTTATTGCTATAAACTCTCTCTCTTAGCTCTGCTTTTGCTGTGTCCCATAGGTTTTGGTATGTTGTGTTTCTATTTTCGTTTTGTGAAATTTTTAAATTTCCTTCTTTTTTTTTTTTTTGAGACAGAGTCTCCTTTCTTGCCTGGGCTAGAGTGCCGTGGCGTCAGCCTAGCTCACAGCAACCTCAAACTCCTGGGCTCAAGTGATCCTCCTACCTCAGCCTCCCAGGTAGCTGGGACTACAGGCATGCGCCACCATGCCCAGCTAATTTTTCTATTTTTAGTTGTTTGGCCAATTTCTTTCTATTTTTAGTAGAGACAGGGTCTCGCTCTTGCTCAGGCTGGTCTCGAACTCCTAAGCTCAGATGATCTGCCTGCCTCAGCCTCCCAGAGTGCTAGGATTACAGGCATGAGCCACCGCGCCCGGCCTAAATTTCCTTCTTAATCTCTTCATTAACCCATTGGTCGTTCAGGAGCATGATGTTTAATTGTCATATATTTGTGTAGTTTCCTAAGTTCTTCCCGTTATTGATATCTAATTTTATTCCATTTTGGTCAGATAGGGTACTTGATATGATGTCAGTTTTTTAAATTTGTTGAGATTTATTTTGTGTCCTAACATATGGCCTGTCCTGGAGAATGTTCTGTGAGCTAATGAGAAGCATAAATTCTGATTTTTTTAAATGAAGATCAGTTAATGGAAGTCTTTATTGAATTCATAGCCACCACTGGTTTTTCTTTATACTCCGAAGTTGATAAATGGTACGTAAAGCTCATTAGGCTTAGTTTTTGATAAATGTCCAAAGTATATTTTGCCATCAGAATATTGCCATCATTATTCTTCATTTTTTCTCTTTCCTGGCAAACAAAAACAACACAATACAAAACTCTGCTTTCTCTATGGTGTCTTAGTAAATGGTAACATTATCCACCTAGTGACCCCTTAACATTGTAGGGTTTGAGGTCTGATTTTTATCCCACTTAAAAGGCAATAATTTAGTTTCTTACTGTTTTCATAGATACTGGCAGAAGACATGAGGCTACTGGGTTGGAGATAAAAGACTTAAGTATTCGTTGCATAGAAAGCAGCGTGAGCATCAATATATATACATCATTTTCCCTGTGTTCCTTAGTCCTGCAGGGTGGTACAGGGGGCCCAGATGAGTGCTGTGTGTACATTCAGTGGGTTCGTGTTGCAGGTAAAGAACACTGAGTTTGAGTAACTCTTTGTTTTATCATCAGCGGTAAGCATACTTGCTCTTTGTTCCAAGGGAGACATTACTCAATCCCTCAAATTTGTTAGCCACAAACATAATACTAAGAAATGGTCTAGGGAATAAGTGGTCTAGGCCTTGCTTTCTTGGCATACCCAGCAAGAGGTATGGGAGCATGAGATCCATGGAGTGTCATCCAACAGTCAGAACCCTGACTATCATTCATGATTCCTCTGTTGCTCACCACATCTAGTCATTTCCCAGATTGAACTCTCTTTAAACCACCACCACTCTAGACCAGACCATCATAATCCTGTCTAAAGTATTGCCGCCACTGCTCCCTGACAGATTTCTGCCTCCTGTTTCCTTTCCAGCCAAGCCTCCCCGGCCATTGCTCTATACAGAGCAATCTTTCTAACACAAGAACTGGCCATGACACAGAACCTTCAGTGGTTCACCAAAAACTTTAAATTCTTTAAAATTCTATACAAAGTTATATGTAGTCTGGTTGAATCTCTTTTCATTCCTCCCCTTCTCTTCCTTGCACTCAAATTCTAGCCATAGCAAACAATATTTATTCTGTAGGCACCCCTCCTATTCTTATTCTCTGCCTTTCTGAAATGTCTACTATCTGTGGGCATGATTCTGCTCTTTGTGATTTGGTATTAAATTGTGGAATTTCTTTCCCTACAGCCTGTCTTGATGGGTTTGGCTAAAGTTCTATCACCTTTTTGGACAGGCTCCACTAATTTTTACAATCTTCAGTACTTTTCTAGAATTCATCAGATTAGCACAGTGTATTATATTATCCTACTTTTAGTGATTCAGTATAATCTCAACCCTCACTGAGTCAACATGTGCAGTACTTACTTTCATCTGATTATTTCCTGTGTGTTTTCTGTCTTCAATTAGGTTGAAAATTTCTTTTGGTAGGGTTAACATGACAATTGTTTTACACTTTTGATATTTTAACTTTAGTTCCTTTGGGGTTCAAGATGAATGATCTATATATTAGATTGTTTTATGGACATCAATATTTCAGTTTATTAAAGAAATTCTCGATAGGAATTTCGATTTAGAGTCACTACAGACAATTAAAAGATGTTACTGATAGTGTTACAACATACAGTTTAAATATTTTTCAATAATGGTCTTTTTTTTCCCCTATAGAATGGCAAGTCTAAAGTCATGGAACTCTACCTAAACTACTTTTGTTTTTTGCTGTACTTCTACAGGCATATACTAGTGTCTCTAAGGCTTCACTTGGCCTTGCAGATCACAGAGAACTGGGAAAGATGATGAATACAATAATTTTTCATACAAAAATGGTAGATTCCTTGGTGGAAATGTTGGTGGAAACATCAGATCTCTCCATATTTTGGTATGTTGAAATTTTCTTTAAATTTGGATTTAAATTTTTGGTATCTGAAGATATATTTATTGGTTGTTTTTATCTTAGCATAGTCCTTAAGATAGTTCAGTAATAAACTCTTAAGAATAAAGGGATTAATGGGCTTTAAAAACTTGCCAACAGAAGAAGTTTAATCAAGTTGGGATTTCATGTCTATTTTTAATTCTCCGTAACAGTAACTCGTATTCATGTGAATTTTGTTTCTTTTTGTTTGAGGAGGTGAAGAACAGTCATTCAAGTTACCGTAAGGCCCTCCTTTGCATGATTAGACTAAGGGGAAGAAGAAGTTGTAGATCAGGGTCAAATAGAGCAAGTATTGGAAATACCTAGTAACTTCACTTCTATAGTGTTAAATTAAATATTAATATTATGATGTGGTAACTACTTCCTGCATTCTACTTCACTCTCTTTTGTTATACTTAGTAGCCTTTTTTGTTAAACTTAGTAGTTTACTTTTTCCCCTTTCTTCTTCTCTAGAAAAAGTGGTCCTTAAAGGAAGGCTATGTTTTTGTTAGTGTCTAATATAGTAGATAACTTCATAAATGTTTAAATGAATAAGTGAACTTGATTGTGATCAGATTAATGAACAGTGGGGCCAGGATTCAAACTCAGGTATTCTGGCTCCAGTACTACACAATATCAACTCTATTTCCTGCTTCTTGGCCTTTTATTTCTCCTTTAGGGAAGTGGATTGGAGTAACCTAGTACGTCTCTTTACTTCTGAAACACTGAGATAATTTTAGTGGATAGTGAGAGTTCCTGTGTATTGAATAGAGGTGATTATGAAAAGCTTCTCATGGCTTTTATTTTGGAAAATTACTCAATCTACATTGATTTTGGCAGTTTGTTAAGAGATCTTAAATTAGCAATATTGCAGAAGAAATCCAAATCACCAGACAGAGAAGACCTCTTAAAGGAGCTCACGGAACACATCAGGAAGTACACTTATAGGTTTACTTTTAGGAAATACATCACGTCAAATTTGCAAGAATTATTGAGATTATTTGGAGCCCTGTACTACTGTTTGACACAAAGTCTACCTTAGAAAACGAAAAATTTTATGTTTAGGTATTTTTTTTTTTTTTTTTTTAGCTACTTAAAGGTTGCTATTGCAAAAGAAGGCTACAACAATTAGAAAGTCCTCTCCGCTTTCTTGAAACTAAAAGCACTTTGAGTAATGTTTAAAATTTGTAATTGTCAGTCATACTTAAGTTTTTACCCATATTTTCTCATAGTCACACTCTATTTTGCTTGGCACATCCAAAATAAACATGTTTACTGCTTGTCTTGTTACTCTGAGATGTACTGTATTTTATGAGCTCACATTCTTTTACATTTAGATTTAACATATCTTAAATCTGGATGTAATTTAAAATTGATGACATGCAATTATTGAGTTCGCAATGTTTTTCCTTCTTAGTTGTACATAAAATGGTATATTTTACAATTGATAGTGACTTAGCTTGGATGCAATTTGATTACGTAACATTTGAATGTCATATTCATGTGCCATAGGTATGTTTATATTTCTATTCAAGTTTTTTATTTTCAATATTTGTTAATGTTATACAAATAGTATTTTTATATTCTGGAATGATATTGGTGTGAAAAAGATACTTTGGAGGAAAAAATAACTATTTTCTTTTTTAAGGAGTAAATGCTACCAGTTGATAACTATCATTCACTTGAATCAAATTAAATTAACTATAACATATTATATCAAGAAAATTTTTATTTTAACTCTAAAAATTGCGATTCTGATTTTTTTATATAGTTTTTATAGTCGTGCTTTTGAGAAGATGTTTCAACAGTGTTTGGAGTTACCCTCTCAGTCAAGATACTCAATTGCATTTCCGCTACTTTGCACTCATTTTATGAGTTGCACACATGAACTGTGTCCAGAAGAGGTAATTTCAGTGTAGTACTGTGATTTATATGGTATGCAAAGTAAACTAGATTAATCTTGTAGCCAGTGAAATGTTCACACAGTCATAATTACCTAATTTAGCTTCCTATCTAATATATCTCTCTGCAGAATCAGGAAAATACTTGAATGGATACATAGGTTTAATAGATAAATGTAGATGGATGGATAAACATACATGTATATAAAAGAACATATTATAAAGTCGTTTACAGTTACCTTTATTAAAATAAATGGTGGGTCAGGTATTAATATTTATGGTGAAAATATGTACAGTAATTGACTTTGAATGCTTAATTTTCCTCCTAAACTATCATTGAAAGGATTCAGAAATTGAATTTATGGATTACTGAGTAAACAAGTCAAAAGAGATTTTACTTACTTGTTAATGTAATAGGTAATATTAAGCAAAATCCAGATTTGCTGATATTTATGAGACATGTGTGCACACACACCACCCCCCGCCCCCAATTACTGAGTAATTGAACTAGTTAGTAGTTTTGTTGATACCAAGTATCTACCAAAAATGTACTCCATGTTTCTTCTAATCTTTGAAGAAGAAATATCAGTTTGGAAGTATGGTAAGAATGTATATTAAAATTAAATAATGTATTTATTTATAATTTAGCTTAGTGTTTAGTCCCTTTACTTAGAACTGCAAAACTTGTAGAAAAGAAACTTGGAGAGAGAAGTAACATTATCAGTATCTTTAAGCACTAGGCAACGTATCTGTTGCAGATTGTATGCCAGCATTCCATTTGAAGCCAATTTTGAGACAGAAGTTAGCCTGCAGGATGTTTATTAGGGAGTACTTTTAGAATTAATACCTATGAGGGTATTAACAGCACCAATTTTAATAGATTTATAGGTTTTTTAGATTTAATAGATTTTTTTCCTCCCAAGCTTAACACCTGATATATACTACTAGCTCTTTCCTCACTATCACCCTTCCCATTAAATTACCCATGAAGTCTTCCTAATATTTTTTATGTATCATTTCTGGAATCTATCTTCTATTTTCCATTGCTATGCCACTTTATAATTCAGATTTATAATACGTATTACATATGTATAGTGTAAAGATTTATAGCATTGTATACTCAACATTCCAGTTACCACTGACAAGAAAAACCCGTCAAACTGTTACAACCCACCAAAAGTAAAAAGATAAGAATCCTGTGCAGATGGGTAGATTTGAGTGAATGTGTGTGTGTCTACATATACATGTGTAATATCCTAAAAATTAAATATAATGATTTCCCCTCTTGTTCAAACAATACATGGTCAGCTTTTTTTTCACCCTTGGAGGAGTGGGGTTTGACTCAAGAGATTTGAATACCTTGTGAATTTGTTACTGAATTGATAATCTAACATTTTTATTTAAATATTTGAGTTCTTCTGTTTATATATTGCAAAGTTGTTGTGACAAGATTTATATAGTAGAGCTGGGCATGGTGGCTCACACCTGTAATCCCAGCTTCTCGGGAGGCTGAGGCAGGAGGATCACTTGAGGCTAGGAGTTTGAGACCAGCCTGAGCAACATAGTGAGGACCCACCAGACCCCCATCTCTAAAAAAAAAAAAAAAAATTAGGCTGCGCATAGTGGCTCAATGTTTGTGTTCCCAGCACTTTGGGAGGCCTAGGCCGGAGGATTGCTTAAAGCCAGGAGTTTGAGACCAGCCTAGGCAACACAGTGAGACCTCATCTTTACAAAACATAAAAAATTTGGCCCGACATGGTGGTACACGCCTGTAGTCCTTGATACTTGGGAGGTTTAGGTAGAAGGATTGCTTGAGCCCAGGAATTTGAGGCTGCAGTGAGCTATGATTGTGCCAGCCTAGGTGACGGAGCAAGACCCTTTCTCAAAAAAATAAACAAATTTATGTATTAGATGTAAATTTTAAAATGAAGTAAGATTCGAAAACAGTACTCTGAATCTCTAAATCTGTTCTTTCACATTGTATGTTTAATATTTTAATATGTAAGAACTGGATATAGGACTTTGTGGAACTTGAAAATTAAATACATAGTTTTTCATGTTAAGGAAAATACTGATCTTTCAAGATTCTTCCCAATTGTATGTTAATTTTATGATCACTAAGTACTTATTTTATGTCATCTCTTGGAAATTCAGTGTGATAGGTTAGTTGTTACACGAGATATAAGAAATCTATAACATCCCCCACCCCCACCTCTTATTGCAGAATAAGACTTTAACTTAATTGTCCATGTTTATTTTAAAAGTGTTTTTTATTCAAAGTACTTTCTTATAACTTTTATTGTTATTCTGCATTAACAGCGACATCATATTGGAGATCGCAGTCTTTCCTTATGTAATATGTTTCTGGATGAAATGGCCAAACAAGCTCGAAATCTCATCACTGATATTTGCACAGAACAGTGTACACTAAGTGACCAGGTAATAATTTAAATATTTCCTACAGATAGGAAGTTTGTGTATGAAGACAAGAATATGAGCTGTTAGCCAGTTATTATTTTACTTTCTGTTTTTAATTCTCAAACTATAAGAAAGTTCATTACCTCTTGATATGAAACTCCATTAACAGGTATAATTTCTTACAGATGGAAGCTTTTTGGCAAGACTATGTAGATTTTGTGTTCTTTCATCAGGAGACTTATAATGTCTAGTTGTTTTATTTTTGTTGATATTAGTACCTGATTCCGATATTTCATTGGTTGTTGTAAAATATTGTCAGTTCTTTTACATATATTAGTTGTGACATAGTACTTAAAAAGATTAAAGTGATTTTTTAAAAAGATTAAATTTACTACTTATTTATCCAGTGGTACAGTTTGTAAAATAAAGGAAAAATAAATGCTTGAATCTTTGCCTTTATTTTCTAGATAACCAATAAGTTAGTTTATATTAATATAATATATTAACTCATAAAATTAAACATATTTGGTGATTTTCCATCCATTAAACTTATTCATATTGAAGCTCAAATTGCCCCATCTTTGGCCAGTGGGAACCGTTGTAGTCACTTGAGAGCTTTCTTGCTATCTGATATGACAGACAAGATGTACCAGCTTCATCTTGTGCATATTTTTGCTCAAACCTGGAATTGGCCATTCCTTCTAATTTCTTCCAGTGGGAAATGGTATTTCAAGATCCAAATCTGGGCATTAGGGATGCATACTGGTCTCATCTGGGCCTCATCAGGACACATTCATTCCCTGTCACTCATGAGTTCATTCTGATATCTACAATTCAAATTCAGAACTACAAGATTCCGTTCCTCTTCTGTTTTACATATGTGTATATCATCTTTCTTCCACATGGTGAATCTGGTTAGCTATAGATAGTATGTGAACAAATGAGTGGCTATGTTTCATTAAAACTTTTGCAAAAACAGATGTGGGCCAAATTTTGTCCTGTTCTTTCCGTTTAGTATTAACAAAAATATGACTGCTTGCTATTCCAGATGTCCTAACTCTTTTTCCTTTCCCACGTTTACTTTTATTTTCTCTTTCCTTCATCTCTGTTGTCTTTATCTTGCTCAATTTTGATTCCATTCCTAGCAATTTCTCCTCAGCATAGGGCACTGACCTGGTAAAGGGCTCTGGCTGATCATTTTGACAATTAATGGGACTAAACTGCTCCATCCCCACCAAACCTTACTATAGTCCTCTTGCATTCATCTGCAAATTAGTCCTCTATGCTTTTGAGTGAATACCTGTAGGCTCTTGGGATCCCTTTTTCTCAGGGTCTTCAGGTTCCCTGTAGTTACCTCTCTGCTTTTCCAAACAGACACATAGGTCTTGTGGTTCTTGGTGGTGTTTTGTTACCATCCACTTGAATTTTGGGGGTTGTGGAAATACTTTGAAACTTGATTTTTGTAGAAAATGTTATTCATGGGTTTTGGTTTTGTGCTCTAGTAGCTCTTTTTTATGTCAGGAGTTACAGAGATTCAACACTTTGCTGTCTGTAATATTGAAGTTGTCAGTTTCCTCAGAAATTTTCTTTTTGTTAAGAAGGAGCTCCTTTGTCATAACACAAATGCAATATGATCTCTTATGCATTTTTCAAAATATAACTGACTCCATGGCTTTTGTTACCATCTATGTACAATGACTAAATCACTTTCTCTGGCCCAGCACTGTCCAAGAGAAATATTATGCAGGCCACATATATAATTTAAAATTTCCTAGTAGCCACACTAAAAAATAAAAAGAAACAGGTGAAGCTAATTTTAGAAATGTATTGGTTTAACTCTCTATATCCAAAAATGTTAATATTTCAGCATGTAATCATATTACTAATGAAGTACTTCATGTTTTTTGTACTAAATCTTTGAAATCTGTTGTGTATCTTACACTTGCAACTAAGTTTAGACTAGGCACAGTTCATGTGCTCAACAGCCTCATGTGGCATGTGGCTACTGTATTGTACGGTGCAGCTCTCCTTCTGTGTAAATGTTCTTTCTCATTCCTTGTTTGCTTGCTGTGTTGCCTATCAAACTAAATGAATTATTTCCCGCTTGTCTCTTGTTTTTTTAATCATTGATATTAGCAGTGTATTAGATAGAAATCTTTGTGTCATCTTTGAATCCTGCCTCTGACTCACATCTAAGTTACTGAATACTGTGAGTTTTTTCTCAGAAGTCTCTCTCCATCTGGCCATTTTTCTTAATTTTTGTTACACTTGCCTTATTTCATATCCCTTTTTCCTATCTCATCTGAACTGTTTCTGGCAGTTCTGTGATCTAGTTGTCCATGTTATCTTTTTCCACATTTCATTGTTTTCTTCTTCCAGCATCAGAGTTAGCCTTAGGAAATACCTGCTCATACTGTGGCTGCTTTTAAAAATTGTCACTGTCTTTAGGATTGTTTGCAGTTTAAAATCCAGCCTCTAGCTTGACATTCAATGCCTTTCCTAATAGTTGAACCTCTCCACTTTACCTTGCACTTTAGGCTCCACCACTTAGTAGTTCTCAGTAGGCTCTGAACACATTTACATAGTTTCGTTTTCATAGGCCATTTAATCCTTCCAGTAAAATGTTCTTTCTCATTTCTTGCTTGCCTAGTATGTTTTTACTTATCTTTTAGAAATAATTTAAATAAGCCTTAAATATAATTTCCTCTATGAAGTGTTTCTTCACACAAGATTTACTTGTTTCTGTTGTCCACCAGGCTGTGTGGGCTACCCAAGTAAGCTCCACATCTTACTTGTATCTCTGTCCTTTAGTACCAGCACGATATTTGCTACATAGTCTGGATTCAGCCAAGGTTTGCCTGAATAATTGTTATGCTTTCAAAGTAATTGGTGTAATGTTAAGATTTCATTCTTTTCTAAATTTAGTTACTTCCCAAGCATTGTGCCAAAACCATCAGTCAAGCAGTGAATAAGAAGTCAAAAAAACAGACTGGTAAGAAAGGGGAACCTGAAAGAGAGAAACCAGGTGTTGAGAGCATGAGGAAAAACAGGCTGGTAGTGACCAAGTAAGCCATCTACTTTTATTGTATCTTTTTGTTCTGGGTAAAAGATTTTTTTCATTTTTTTCTGTGGCATCAGTACTGAGGAAATACTAGTAATTCTGTATTCTTCATTTGCCAGCCATTTTAAAAAATTTCTGTGAACTTGATTAGCTTGTTAGTGTTTATTTGATCCCAAAATACAGATTTTGGCTTTTAGAAGAAAATATATGTAGTAGATGATATTTATCCTTATATACTGAATACTAAAGGCCAAGTATATATATCTAAAAAATTTTGTGGGGTACATGGTAAACAATCTATAATTTTCAATTTATTTAAAATCAGATATCTGAGACTTCGTTTTAGCATGTTTGTGATACATTCGAACATACCTGATATCATTATTTTAAAACAGAAGTATCAGAACAGGTAGCATTCAGGGCTCTTCGCTTGTTTAATTGTTTGGAGGGAAGGTGTAGGTGGGCAATAATTGGATAAATATTTTTTGTTTAAAGTAAATTTTCTACTTTCTTCCTTTCTAAGTTGATTAAGCAATTGCCCTTTTCAGACAATTTTCCTTTTTCCTGTAACAGAAAGTATAGCAGGAATTGGAGATTATGAGTGTACAATAAGATCTTCCTATTGTATGTTAAGTCAGTACAGTCATTACTATCTAAATGTAGAAATGAATGATGGTATCCTTTAGAAAATTATTCTCAAATGTTAGTTACATCCTTAAAGATTTTGAACTTAGTTTAGGAGATAAAAATAAGCAAATTCTGTAATTACTATCTCTAAATAAAACCTGATGTGTTTATAAAATTAATATTGTATTGCCTATGATGAAATGTTGAATATTTTATTTACTGTTTATTAATTTTTTTCCAGCCTTGATAAATTGCACACTGCACTTTCAGAGTTATGTTTCTCTATAAATTATGTACCAAACATGGTGGTATGGGAACATACCTTTACCCCACGAGAATATTTGACTTCTCATCTGGAAATCCGCTTTACTAAGTAAGAAAGAATATAAACTGTGTTTGTTTGTTGATTCAGTTAATGAGTTTGTTATAGTAATTATTAATCTATGCAGTGTTTGCTTTTATAAGGAAAAGCATTAGTAGAACTGGTATAATATTAAGAATAATGAACTAGAAAATATAAAGAATAGAGAATTGAGAATTACTTAAATTGCCTAAATTCTTTTCCTATACCTGTTATTATTAACCAATAATACTGGGCAAGCCAGTTAATCTCCATAAGTGTTAGTTTCCTTATATGCAAAATGACAAGATTAGAGCAAATCAGTGTACTTCAGCTTGCAGGTGGCAACTCAGTAGGGTCATGAAATCAGTTTTTAGGTTGTATTCAACATTTAAAGAAAGAAAGAAGGGGGAGGGAAATAAGAAATAGAAAAACAGAGCATTGTATGCAGTAAGTATAAATATTGGTGCATGAAATTTGTCAGTTATGTATATATGTATGTGTATGGAGTTGTAGTAGATACATGTCTTGCAGTAGGTCACAGTCAAATATTTGAAAACTTCAGGACGAGGTGATGATCTCTTACATCTTTTCTGAATTCAAATGTATGCTGTTAATTAAGCCGGTAGAATTTTAGATACTTGAGGTCTCAATTCTAATTAGAATTGTGTAATTTATACATATGTACTTCTTGAAATGATATTTATAAATGTTTCTTCAACCATTTTCTAAAGTTACACCCTTATTTATTAAAGAAAATGTTAATGTAGTATAAGTAGTATTGAAATAATATAAAGCTTAGAAGTACAGTTGGTGAGATAAGACTGTAAGAATTAGAGAATAATATAGGACAGTATATGAATGGGCACTGAATTGAATGTTAAATTATCAGTTGACTTGAAAAGACAGTGGTGATGAACAAAGACTGTCTTTTGCTCTCCTTAGTAAGGCTGGCATCCTGACAATAAAACACAGAATGCCCTAGTATTTATTTTATTTATATGTTTGTTTTCATTTTTATTTATTTATTTACTTATTTTTTGAGACAGGGTCTCACTCTGTTGCCTGGGCTCGAGTGCAGTGGCATCATCATAGCTCACTGTAACCTCAAACTCCTGGGCTCAAGTGATCCTCCTTCATCAGCCTCCCAAGTAGCTGGGACTGCGGGTGCATGGCACCACATCTGGCCAATTTTTCAATTTTTTGTAGAAACGGGGCCTCACTGTGTTGCTCAGGCTGGTCTTGAACTCCTGCCCTCAAGTGATCCTCCTCCCTCTGCCTTCCAAAGTGCTAGGATTACAGACATGAGCCACCGCGCCTGGCCTGGCCTTAGTATTTAAACTTAAAGGGACGTTTTGTCTTTTGGTATTTATTACTTTCAAGTGGGTGGGGGTAGGAGACTGGTTGATAGAAGGTAGAATTTAGTTTATATAGCTCCCTTGTTTTCCTTCTGTAAACAGTCTGGTTTTTTAATCCATGGGGAAGCAAATGTTCTTTTTATCAAACATCTACTTAGTGAACAGGATCAAGGCAAGGGGAACAAGTTGTTTACCTGGGAAAGACTTTTGTGCCGGGACAAATAAGTTGTGAGTATTAGTGGGTTTACTTTTGCTGATCACTTGAGCACAGTCTTAGGGGCTATACACAAGGATAGCAATTTTCATCTTGAGTTGGCTGTTATGGGCCTGTTTCTAGTGATCAGATTTGTCTGTTGTCTTTAAGGATCCATTCTTATGGATACAACTCTAAGGGCTTTATAGATCTAATGCTCAAGGAGCTTTAAAGAAAGTAAAATAGAAGTAGCCAATGTTGGAAAAGTATTTAGGGAACTGTTTTAAAAATGTGTGTTTTGTTGGAATATAATCAGGACTATGTTTTATGTGCTGTGAGTGATTAAAGAATAAAGTTGTTTGTTTGTTGCCCTGTTTTGTTTAACTGTCATGCAGTTTGTGGAGAGGCAGCACTAAGTCAGGCAGACTTGGGGTCAAAGCCTGGATATACCACTTCCAAACAAAGTGACTTTATCAATTTACATGAGTCCTGAGCCTTAGTTTTTTTCATCTGTGAAATGATGGTGATAATAACTACATAGTAGGGAAATTAAATGTGATATTGGAGGTAATTTATATAAAGCCTAAAAAACTCCTGACACACATAATAGTGCCAAGTGAATTCATACTATGGACTAAATAGTTCATTGTCTTTGCTACAAACAATATGTTAAAGCAATTTTTAAAACCCTCTTTACGCTTTAATCATTTCGTTACCGATGTTCTTAGAATGTTTTTAATCATTTGTATTCTTGTTTCATTGTAGTTTTTAGGTATTCATTCTTTTTTTAGGTTGTTTCTTGGGAAGATAATGACAGTAGTAATTTTATGGCTTTGTAACAAATTATGTTTTAAAGTTAATGTTAATTGCTTACTTAATATTATCTATGAGTAGATTGAATGGTTTATTTACATAAATGGAAAAGTTAGAGTTCTTTTCTTACTCTCCTCCCTCTACCCCACAGGTCAATTGTTGGGATGACTATGTATAATCAAGCCACACAGGAAATTGCAAAACCGTCAGAGCTTCTTACAAGTGTAAGAGCATACATGACTGTACTCCAGTCAATAGAAAACTATGTGCAGATTGATATTACAAGAGTATTTAATAATGTTCTTCTTCAACAAACACAACATTTAGATAGTCATGGAGAGCCAACTATTACAAGCCTATACACAAATTGGTAAGGAAAACATTTAGAAATTTGGGAACTAGAAAGTTTCTTTATAATGAATTACTTAGAAGAACTAATTTTTTATGGGTACATGCTCATTCATGTTATCAGTCAACTTAAAATTATATGCAGGAATATATACCATAATAAATTTTGAATTAAATAATTTTTCTTGGTTATAAATTTTCTTTTCTTCTCAGGTATTTGGAAACTTTGTTAAGACAAGTTAGCAATGGCCATATAGCTTATTTTCCTGCAATGAAAGCATTTGTGAACTTACCTACAGAAAATGAATTAACATTCAATGCAGAGGAATATTCTGACATATCAGGTGAATAATACTATAACATGGTTTAGAGAATAAAGGAAACTTGATTCTTTTGATGATGTCTTGATTCTTTTGGCTTTTCATTCTGTTGTGACTATTCTAGTTCGTTTATATGCATAATTGCATATTGTATCTTAGAAGTACTTCTGCATTTTGTGTTACCTTTTTTATTCCAGAGGCTTTTCTCAGGATTTTGCCTTAATAATTTGTTTTTATGATGGTATGTGTTAATGTCAACTTTCTTAAAGTATTTGCTCTGTCAAAAGTATGAAATTAATTACATTTTCTTTCAGAAATGAGGTCATTATCAGAACTACTAGGCCCGTATGGTATGAAGTTCCTAAGTGAAAGCCTTATGTGGCATATTTCATCACAAGTTGCTGAACTTAAGGTAATACAGTCTTTATCAATTTTAGCTTTTAAACATTAATTCCTGGAAAAGATTTCAGGATTGTGAACGACAAGCCTCCGTGTTAATTGTTTTAAACTGACATGAAAATTCTGATATGTAAATGAAATTAAAGAGCTAACAGGGCCTTTCGATGGCTTCTTAGTTTAGTTCTGTTTTACAGGTGAGAAAATAGACTGAAGAGGGGTATTGACTTGCCAAAGGGGACTGAAATTCAGATTTTTGGGCTTTTGGTCAAGCTTTCATTCTATTATATTTTGATTTTAAATAACCTTTTTTTTAAAGCTTTTTAGAAATATCTCAGTGCTAAGGGGATTTATATTGAATGAGTCTGTATATATAATAACTGTGTAGTTTTTGGAAGAATTTGAGCTTGGGCCACTAAAACTTTTGAACTTATGAACAGAATAAAAAAGGCATGTTTTGAAATACACCTTTTTCTTTATGTAAGTTTTTTGGTGGTTATTTGTGCCTTGCATTTTTAATTTGTGAAAAAAATAGTTTATGGTACTGATAAGTAGCTTGCATTTGAAAATGTAGCACTGAGAGTTCTAAATGTGGTAATCTGATTTACTGAAAATTAAAGAATAAGTTAATTCCTATAAGCTTAATAATATTTTTCTTAATTTAAATATTAAATAATATTTAATAGTAATATTTTGCTGAGTAAAATAAATAGCAGGAGTCAGTTTGAGTAAAAGCTTCATATATTTAAACATTTAAAAAAGAGAGGCAGTATTACCCAGTGATTAAGAACTCAGGCTTTCAAGTTAAGCTCTCCTGAAGTTCAGTATTGTTGCTTATAAGCTTTACTTTTAAGCAAATGTTTAAACTCACTGAGCTTTTACTTTGAGAGAATTATATGAGATAATTCATATCACACTTTTAGGTACTCTGCATGGCGTCTGACGCACAATAAGCACTGAATAAATGTTATTTTGGTATTTATCATATCATTATCCTCTCATTGTTATTTTTTTAGAGTATTCTGCAGTTCTTATATAAAAATCAACTTCTAGATACTTTATAATATGTATTTTAAATGCATATATTGTATACTTTGTATGGTTTTAAATGCACAAACATTGAAATGCTAGTTTTGGTTCTTTACAAGCAATATTATTCTTATTTATTGGACTCATTCTCCTGTAAATACATGATCCTTTTTTTGTCCTATCTCAGGTAACAGATTTCTCATCTTCAATTTTTTTCTTATATTCTTTTCAGTATCAGATAATAAAGGAATTATGGCTCAGTAATTTCACTTTTGCCAACTATTTTTTATTTCAGACTGAATAAATAGGCACTTCTAGAATTGTCAGTATTTTTAGTGCTTCTTTGCTATTTAATTTGATAGATTGAATATCATGGTGCAGTAGTAAAAAAAAAAAAAAATAGCCTAATTTGGATCTCTCTGAATTCATTTCTGTGAGAGTTCAAACATGTCCTTAAGTACTGCAGGGATCTGGCCTTCCGCTTTTCCTTACCGCCTTTATTCCTGCAGCCTGGCTGGCCTACTTACTGTTGTGTCATCTCAGATACTCTTGTCTGAGATATTGTAATAGCTTGCCAACACATAGTAAGCACTTAGTAAATTTTTATTGGATGCAAAAATAAAAATAACCAACTTCTTGACTCTTTGTTCCAGGCTTTCTCTTAACCTCTTCATAAATACTAACTCTTTTAAGTCCTTACAATAGGTGTTTTCCCTATTTTACAAATGCGGAAAGTAAAGTCAAGAAAGATTAAATAACTTGTCCAGGCTCATATGGTTAATAGGGGGTGAAACCAAAATTTGAACCCATGCAATCTATCTAATTCCAGAGTTTATGCTACTACCATGCTGCACTGCATGTAGAACTGAGAGGGAGCAGTTATCTAACCCACTTTCATCTGATGTAGGAACACAGGCTACATTTTTCTAGGCGTGTCATCTGGTCTTTTATGAAAATGAGGCAGTCTCATCAGTTACTACATATCTCTAATTTATGTTGACTCAATATCTAAGTAATAGTTTTTGATTAATCCTCATTCTTAGGTCAAGAAGCAGAGACTGCCTTTGACAAGATCACCTTTCACATATTAAAAACTGCTACCGTGTATTATTTTTCTTCCTTGTGTGAAATATATTCATATTCATTCACTTTGCCATCTTTATCACTCCTTCCTCTGTACAAACACTATCTTTTTGGTGTCACTCTTAGAGAATAGTACCTAAACTGAGAAGTTTCAGATAGAGGTCTGATCAGTGAGGGTGCGCATATTTATTCTGGATACTGTGCTTACTAACAGTTTAAGATAGCTTTAAAACTTTCAGTAGTTATGCCATACTGTTTTCATATCAATTTCCAATCAGATAAATTTTCTTTTTGTTTCTTTCACATATGCTAACCTTAAACCATGGCTTTCTACATATTATAATTCGGACAATTATTTTTAGACCTAAGTGTATGCTTTATAAATTATTTTTAGTAAAGTTTATCTTATTCATTATTTCAGGATCTTAAGTACAGATTTTATCTTAGTCTGTTAGCAATTCTTTTACAAACTTAATATTATAGCCTTGTCCCTAAGTATTAATGTTATCAAATACATTCTTTCTTTTGAGAAGAAATGGAAGGAACTTACATTTTAACATTTCTCTCTTATATGGTGGAGTGACTGCATTCTCTTTGTTAGATATTATTAAAATTTGATTTAAAGTTGATATAGAAATAGTATGAATAGTTGACTTTTTGAATGCTGTTGAACTCACTGACTCAAGAGTGTTGTTTCTTGCCTGGAGTCTTTTTCAAATATTTGATATTAAATCTGAGTCAAAAACCTAGACACAATAAACTTCTTGTGTAAGAGCTTAGATTCATTGCCTTTGAGGTACATGGGTATGACTTGGCTTGGGTTTCTCATTAAATATAATATGCTCTAAAACCAAGATGGTTTTGGATAGTAAAACATTTTTTTCTCTGAAACTTTTTATTTTAGCCTTTTAGTAATCTCTTATGTGATCTTCCTTATTTGACTTGACTTTTCATTTTACCTTCATAATAACTTGCATATTTTATTAGTGATTTAATGTTAGTTGTAGGAAGAATTTTTTTAAATCATAATTATGTTTTGGTATTTCTATTTTTACTTTTTTGCTTTTCAAATACTAAATCCTGATTTGTTCAAATATTATATTTTTCAAACTGCTTCATATGAAATCTTCACATTTCTAGTATTGTGCTTTCATCATTTAGGTTTCTTCAAAACAAAACAAATCTTGAGGATTCAGTTTTCTGGAATTGCACAGTGCTTTACAATGATTTTCTTTGAGGTCTCTCTTAAGAACCCCAAGATGTAATCCAGATTGCTTTGGATTCAACTACTTGCATGTTGTTAAGAACTGCAGAAGGTGTTATTCATGACTGTTTTCTCAATCTTTGTGTACTGAGTCATACTTCCATATGCATTCTTGTATTTTATTACCAAAGAAATCTTATATTTTATTACAAAAGAAATCCTGTATTTCATAATGTAATGATTTTCATACAGACAAGTTCAGTGTGTTGTATACTAGTCTATCTCATTGAGGTAAATCTCTCAAAGTACTCATTCTGTCAGTGGTGATTCTAATTGTTTTATATTTTTTAGTGTCCTACAAAATTACTTTCTGTAGGATAACATAATTTTTGAAGTTACAGAAATGAAAGAACCTAAGGGTTTTTCTTTCCAGTATTGGTAGGAAATACTTTTCTACAAAGGACAACTTAAAAAGCTTGAGAGAGATGTTAAAAAAAGAATCTTCTTGGCTGGGTGTGGTGGCTCACGCCTGTAATCCTAGCACTCTGGGAGGCCGAGGCAGGTGGATCACTCAAGGTCAGGAGTTCGAGACCAACCTGAGCAAGAGCAAGACCCCGTCTCTACTAAAAATAGAAAGAAATTATCTGGACAACTAAAAATATATATATAGAAAAAATTAGCCGGGCATGGTGGCGCATGCCTGTAGTCCCAGCTACTCGGGAGGCTGAGGCAGAAGGATCGCTTGAGCCCAGGAGATTGAGGTTTCTGTAAGCTAGGCTGAAGCCACGGCGCTCTAGCCTGAGGAACGGAGTGAGACTCTGTCTCAAAAAAAAAAAAAAAAAAAAAAAAGAATCTTCTTTTACAGAAGGGCCAAAAAAAAATAGTGAGGTATTTCTAGGCTAATGTCAAGGAGAACCTGGGAACTCAGAAACATGAGCCTAGCATTGGAAGCCACTTTTGACCTGAGGACATTTACTGATTCAGAAGTAACACATTTGTAAAATTGAGCTGTAGTTCTGGTGGTCTTGTGGGGCAAGGAGGTCAGTAGTCAAAACCTAGAGCCTGCCCAAAGTAGGGAGTGGGAAGTCTGCTTAATTCTTCCCCAACTTTCTTTACATAGACACCCTAAAGGGTTGTACCTTCAGGGTAAGGGTGAACTGAAAATGTTTCACCCCTCTCCAGGATATACAGCCTTATTTGTGTTGTTTGCTCAGTCCAAAGAATCTCATATTTTGAGCCTGGGTTAAGGTAGTCTTAGATAAGTAGTGCCCCAAGGTACTTGGCAGAAGCTAACACAGATCCTCTCTGGAGAAAGGTATCTTCATCCTAGGCTTCAAATGATTTCTGCAAGTAATTTTTCAAACACAGTGACCTTCAGCTGGAGAGTGCAAGTCTATTGGAGATCAGTAGAGGGTGGTCATATATTTAACTGGCATACGATTGATTCTTACATCATTCTCTGTTGCCACTTTCTCTGAACCAGAATTTAGAGCCCTCTTTGTCAGCATAACTTCCTAAGGTGGTGAGAAGTTAGAGTGTAACTAACCACTCCCCATAAAGACCTAGTAATCCTTTTGTTTTCAGCCTCAAGCCTTCCTGTGCCACTGCCTTCAATTTCTGATCCTTTCCTTCCTCTTGAGGCATATATTAACTTGCTTCTACACTGTGTCTTCTCTACAGGAATTTGCAAATCAAATTTTTCACCTCTGTTTATTCTTTGCTCCATTTTCCATCTTCTAGAGATTTGTTGACATCTCTCATTTGGTCTTGTTTCTTCTGTTGTTTATTTTTGTAGGTTTATGCCTTTTTTATACTTTTCCTCTCACTTTAGTGGATTTCTGAAAGGAGCAGTTTTAGACACATGTATAAAATTCTCTACATTTAACCAGTACTTCTACATAGTTTGCATACTTGTTCGAGCATTTTTATAGGGAAGATTTCTAAAAGTAGATCAAAAAATGTAAACATTAACTTCAAATATCCCTCTGAAAAGACTGTAGCTCATACCCTCCCCAACAGAGCATTGTGATGGCTCTAGTAGCATTTTAGTCTTTTTGAAATGAGTGTATACAGTGTTTTTTCGGGAGGGAGTTGTGATATTTTTTAAGATCATTCTATAACTTCTTTGCTTTTATTTTTGTTTTCTAAATATTTAATCTAAAATGACAAACTAAATACCATGTGGCTACATCTTTTTCTTTTTCTTTTAAAGGTGATCTTAACCTGTTTTAGCTGAGGACCTTTTTGTTTCAAAGAGTAAATTTGTGTGCTAATTAGAAAAAGCAGAGCTTCTTTATATTTGATGGTTGTGAATACATCTTGTGTCAGACTTAGCACTATGCATGGGTACTTGTGGTGAAATCTATTTATTCCTTTCTGGAGAAGAAAACAACCAGGCTTCTTTCCTACTAAAATTCTTGGTTGGGTGTTTCATTTGGAGTTGTGCCCATTGAGTCAATTTCTCCTTCCAGTCCTGCCAGAAGAATTGTTTTGGCATTTTACAGATAAGTCTTTCTAGTTCTTCAGGGGGTCCTAGAGGACTTTTTTTCAAATGCAGTGGGAAATTTAAATATGAATTATGCCAAGAATTGTAACACTTTCTTTTTAACAGAATACCAAGTAGATTAAAAACATTTTTAAATACTCTTAATTTGCTTCATGTGATTTGTCTCAATTTGTTAAATTCCAGTTACTACTGCCAGCTTTCATTTTGTTTGTCAGCAAGATTAATCGATGGTTTTAAATATAGAGAGCCTTGTAAGGATGCAGTCGAGGGAAAAATGAAAAAAAAATTAAACATAAAAATGAAACTTTCAAGAAGAGAGATCGTTAACTTTTTTTTTTCTTTTTAAGAGTAGTAAGCCAACAAATACTTTAGGGTAATGGTTCTCAGAGTATGGTTCCCAGACCAGCAGCAACAGCATTACCTTGGAACTTCTTAGAAATGCAATTTTTTTTTGGCTCTACCTCAGACCTGCTAAGTCAGAAACTCTGGGGCTGGGACCCAGCAATGTGTGTTTTAGGAAGTCCTCCAGAGCATTCTGACGTGCACTAAAGATTGGGAACCATTTCTTTAAGGATTAAGAACATAGAGTTTTAATTCAGACATATGTGAATTCAGATTCCACTGTTATTATCTTTGTAACTTTGAGCAAGTTATCCAACTTTTCTGAACCTTTGTTTCCTCAACTGTAAAATTGGAATGTTACCTCCAATAAATAATACCATAATTTATAGATCCTAAGACCCATTTATCCTATATTAATATTTCTGAAATTATATGTGTCTTATAGTATTGGTAGAGGTTTTTTTTCTCAGTGGCACGTAAAATAAAGTGTATTTTAAATTCAGTGGAGTCTCTGATTCATTAATTCGTGATATTTTGTTCAAAGTGTTGTGAGCACTATCGGGGTTGGGCATAGAGTTTGAGTGTGTATTGAATCAAGTCTTAGGTTGAGAGAGTTTTGAATTGGCCCAGAGAGACAGTCTAATCAAAGACTATAGAAGTTAAATTTAGCAAATAAATGTGACTTCAACTGAACATCTGATTAGGAGCATAATGAGAAGTAATCTGAAGTAATGTCATCAAGTAACTTAAACAAAATTTATATTAGTGATTTAGGAAAAATGATTTTTATAGATTTTCTGTATAGTTTTTCATGGTCCTCTGAAATCAGCTGTTACTAACTTTCCTTTGTAACAAAACCACGATGGCACTTTAACTATGTGCTTGCTACATCTTCCCACCCAGGTCTGCTGAATTGAAATATTCAGGGATGAAGCCTGGATATGTATGTACATATTTGGAAAAAGTTCTACAGGTGATTGTGATGTATAGTAAAGGCTGAAAACCACTATAGAGAGCCAAATGTAAAGAAAATTCTGATTTAAAAGAACTTTGTAGAGACATAGAGATCAGAAATTAAATTATAAATTTCACTTGAATTATTGAAAACACTGGTGTGGTAGTGGTGAACTTAGTGGTGTAAAGGCAGATGGCACAGGTAACAATGCAACAAAGAGTAGAATGTCTTACTCACTTTCCCCCCTCATTGTTTTAGAATCCCAGTTTGTTGTTATCCAGGCTTATTCTGCCAGAATGAAATTAATTGTATTTGTTTTAGTTATAATTTTTTTACTAAATTACTGTTCCAATTTTTTTTTTTTTTAAGAAAAACCTTCTTTAATTAGCTATAATTTTCTTGAATAGCTATCCTTCGCTCCCTTCCCTTATTTATATCTCTTCCTTTTCTCTTCCCTTTTCTCAGTGGTCCATGAAAGAGAAGTAGATAGTTTACACTTCCATTTTATAATTTGTGCTATAATACTGCAGTCCCCAACCCCCAGGCTGCGGATGGGTCCATGGCCTGTTAGGAACGGGGTCACACAGCAGGAGGTGAGCGCCAGGGGAGAGAGCGCAGCCACTCGCCATCAGTCACATCGATGCTTGAGCTGCATCTCTGCCCCCCAGATGCCCAACCCTGCTGTGGAAAAGTTGTCTTCCATGAAATCAGTGCCTAGTGCCAAAAAGGTTGGGGACCACTGCTGTAATATAATCCCCATCAAGTGGCACCATACCCCACCAAGTTATTCTCCCTCTAATTGTATATATCCAGTGATGAACTCATTGTCTAAAGACATACGCTCTGGCCTGTTTTTGGCCAGCTTTAACTTTAGCAAGTTCCTGTTGTTTTGGTTGGAAGTTGTTGCTCCCTAAATCTGTTTTAGTGTCTTCTTTTTAATATCGATGCTGTTCTATGCCTAAGCATTAGGTGATCCTTTATCCTGCTACTTATCTTTGTTGCTTTTCCCTATATGTCTTCCTTCTTGAATTTTCAAACTGAAGAACACTAATCATATGTAAATAATTTTAGGATTCTTTTATTGAAACAAGAACAAAAGTCTATAGCATAGAGCATCTGGATTTCATGGATTGTGTTTCCTACTTGCCAGATTGTAATTTCCAAGCATGCTCTTATCTCATTAACACAGGGAGGTCTGTGCCTGACCTAGGATCTTTCTTTTTCTTTTTAGAAACTTGTGGTGGAGAATGTTGATGTGCTAACACAAATGAGGACCAGCTTTGACAAACCAGACCAGATGGCTGCACTCTTTAAAAGATTATCATGTGGGTAACTCATGATACTTTTATAAACATTAAGAAGATCTCGATACTTACTATTTAGCCCT